TGTTAATTTGTTAACTATTGTTAAAATTAAGAAGAAATATATTGCACTGCATCATCAAACATTCAAAAAAGAAATAATTTGTTACCTATTGTTAAAAACAAAAATACATTGCGCTGCAATGCTGCATCATCAAACATTCAAACAAGAAGTAACAAAATTAAATTGTTACCTATTTTTGGAGAATTGGAGGCGGAAGGCCGGACTGCTGTCTGGTGGAGGCGGACTACCGTGGCGGATCTACGGAGGCCGACTGCCAGTGGCGGAGGAGGAGTGGAGTCGTGGAGGGCGGAACAAGACGGACTGCTGGAGTGCAAGACGCGGACTGCTGGAGTGCTGGACGCGGACTGCTGGAGGGTGGAGGGCCGGACTCCGGCGAAAGTCGAAGTCAGTCGTCGATGAGGGGAGTCGGGGAAGTCGCCAAGTCGGAAGTCGAAGTTGATTTGTGATTTGTGAAACTGCCGATGAGGGGAGTCGGGGAGTACAAGGAAGTAGATCTAGGGTTTGCGTTGTCTGAGTGGTCTCACACTGGTTTGACTAATCTATAACTAGAAAATATTTTATATATATAAAAAATGGCGGGCAGCCCGCGGCCCGCCAGGACCGCGGGCTTAAGCGGGGCGGGCCAAAAAAGCCCGCTCCTAAACGGTCTTGTATTTTCGAAACCTGCCCCCTACCTAAGTAGTGGCGGGGCAGGCCGGCCCGGCGGGCTAGGCCCGTTTTGACGGCTCTAAACACAGCGGAAAACTAACAAAGATTATATAAATTGGAAATGAAAAGGGTGCTATGCCACGCTCACCCAGAGGTGAACGCACAGGCTAAACATCTGCATAATTCACAATCTAAAATCCATATATAACCAAAGTACTTAAGTTTATCCTTGGCACACAGGCCATAACAACACAAACAAAGGGAACTAAACTATCAAGTTCTAGACCGCACTCACGTCTACACATCACCTGAAAGAAACACATAAAAGATGGGACGATACCCGGCCAGCGAATAATGCTGGTAACCCACCAATACATGTGAAATATCATACATAGATAGGTTATACGTATGTAAAATCATTTGCGAAACATAATATATATATATATATATATATATATATATATATATATATATATATATATATATATATATATATATATATATATATATATATATATATATATATATTATATAAGTTCAAAACCAAGAGCAGAAGTCAACACAAGACTCAATGCACTCACAACAAGAATACGGGAACACATCCCAAGACCACAAGAAGTAAGAACAACTCACAAGAACGGCTCAAGGCATAATCTACCATCACACAGTAGATTAACACCCGACATGCATGATACAAGAGAAAGGACACAACCATTGGCAACACATTGCCTTTGTGACAACACATGTTACAAATAGAGAAATACAAAACCGCGGCAACACAAGCCTTCGTGACATCACTCATCACAAATTGATATGCCTTCCTTATGCCCGGTTCAAACCTTACGGCTACCCCCAACCTTATATCTAGATCCAACCTTTACCTCCAGGACCCCTGTACACCAAGTCCAACCTTATTCCCCCGAGAACCGTCGTTCCCACTCCAACAGAACCACCGATTTCATACACGAGGGTACCGATCACACACGGCAACAGATGCCCTGGATAACACATGTTATCCCAGAAATAAATACGTGAACCTTACACAAAGGCCACAAAATCCATAATCGCGTCATGGCCACAACGAGGACCACTGTCGTACCTTGGTGATTAAGGCCCCATAAACCGAAATCGTGCAATCCAGGTACAGCCACACACACCACACCTCAACAGGAATCAATCAACGGATCACAACGAAGATATGAAACCATACTCAATCAAGGAATGGATCACACTCCAACAACAACGATGAATAACACAAGTCATCATCAACAATAGGAAGGTACAAACAACACACACGCTAGCATTTAAACACCGAACTAGCATGCTTATCAAACGGGTAAACCAAACGTAGTTCCGAAGAACACACCAGACTCATCATGGTTCAACGAAACACAATGTTGAACACCTAGCACGATTCAAGACACCAAAACCTACATGGATTCCTACCATATAGTTCTAGGCATACGAAACATCAAGAAGACACTCAAATAGTTCTACAAAAGAATATCGGGAAGTCAAAAGACCAAATACCGAGTCAAAAGAATCACGGGGAACAAATCCCCGCCAAGCCAACATATGTTTCCCGCGGGTGGGCCCACGGATGGACCCCCACCCGTGGTTCCGCCCGCGGGTACCAACACCCACAAGCCACGTTCCCCGCGGGTGGGGCGGCGGGTAGGCCACTGCCCGCCGTTCCGCCCGCGGGTACACCAACCTGTACCAAAATAATCCCTTCGGGGATTTTCAACTCCAAGCTCAAATTCAAGTCCAAAACATGCCAAATCTCACCAAATACAACAAAATTACTTGAATCAAAGGAATAGCCAAGCAATGACATACATGAATCCTAATAACAAGCTCTAGATATGCATTTTCACAAGACAATGCATAAACACTCACATTTCATAGCAAAATCACATGTAGAATCCAAGAATCATCAAATAGGAAAGCAAAATAGATTTTGTAGAGGATGGGTTACCTCTTGAAAACTTATCCTTCACTTACAACACTCCACAAGGCTCCCAATAAGGTTCCATTTCCACACCCACTTCAAGAACACACCAAAACAACATAAAGATTTCACCTTTATAAAAAGATACCTTATAAAACACTAAAAACACAAGAGGAGCTTAGATCTTACCCTCCTAGATGCTCAAAAGTATGAAAGGTAGAATCTTGAAGGCAAACTTGAAAGATCTTGGTAGCCCTAGGTGTGGCTTGGAGAGAAAGCTAACTAGCTTTTAGAGAGAGGAGAGAGAGCTTATGATTTTTCTCTTGGAGAGTGTTTGAAGAAATGAAATGTGTCTTCCTAGGTTTGCTTGAAAGACTATTGCCAAGGAAATGTCTTATTTACCCTCACTAAGATGAAATGTGTAAGGGAACAAGGGAACAACTCACAAAGCTTTAGGTACAACTTTTGACTTTGGGTTGACTAGTCAATTACTAGTCCCCGACTATTGAATTTTCAGGAATTTAAGGAATTAAATTACCAATTGAATTAGGATTAGTTACTTAATTAATCCCTTAATCGAATTTGGATTACGGAGTGTCACAACTGCCAAGTTGCAATTATCAAGCATGCCTATCTTGAGAGTATTTTGAGTTCTAAGAACTTTTTAAATACTTGCTAAGTGTTTAATTAGAAGAATTGTTAAGTTTCGAGTAGTAAGCATGATATATGAAATTGTTGAGTTTCATAGTGAATAAAAGCTAGAGGCACTATTTCACAGTATTTCGCATTATTGAGCATTCCATGTTTTAAAAGTGCATAAGTGGCCATTGTGAGCTTAAATATTATTTTCTAAAATCTCATTTTCATGTAGAAAGCATTTACCTTGCCATATTGAGATTGAGTTAAGGAGTATGTGCATATTTGCATAAGAAAATTATTGCATGATTTGAGTTGCATGAGTGATATATACATATATATATATATATATATATATATATATATATATATATATATATATTGTGAGGAAAATAGTATTTTTGGAGGCCGGACCCGTTTGGACTATGTCCTTTCGGAGTAAAAGAGAAAGCAATGGACATTGTGATCCGATATCATGTAACGTGGCGTATTCCCACGTTACGAGGTTGGAAATTTCCCGCCAGGCTTGGACACCTGATTCCACAGAGTATGAGTATCGGAACCACGAGATTAGTTCTGTGGGCAGGATGAGAGATTGGTCGGCTATACGCCGTACCCAATGGGTTAATTCACACTATGGTGAAGCCCGGCCTCGCCCACGAGTAAAGAGAAAGAAAGCGAGTCAAGAGACTCAGAGAAAGAAAGTGAGTCATTGAGACTCAAAGAAAAGAAAAGCAAAGAAAGTCATTTATGACAACAAGAAACTTCCACAGAAAAGTATTCTTTTTGAAAGAGCGTGAAAGTATATTTATATATCTTGCACTAGATTGCATGAGTAGTAGCACGAGATTTCTTATTTATATATCTTGCACTAGATTGCATGAGTAGTAGCATGAGATTGCTTATTTATATGTCTTGCACTAGATTGCATGAGTAGTTGCACGAGATTGCTATTTGATATATCTTGCACGAGACTGCATGAGTAGTATTCGATGGCATGAGTTGCATACTTGATTTATATGAGAAAGCATGAGAATATTGATTATTTGGGAAGTTTTAGTTTGTTCATAAGATGAGAATGTGATGAGTTGTTTATGACTAAGTATGCCTATTTGAGTATTAGGTTGCAAGCATCTAGAAGTTACGCCATAGTATGTTAAGTGTTTAAACTTGCTTGAGCAAAGAATGTGGAACCTTGTTTTCCAAAGTATATACTGTACTTACTTTACAGGGTTGAGTGGCGTTATACTTAGCTTTGTGCTAACGGGTTTGCTTGTTATTTGTTGTTTGTTAACCCCTTTCAGGTAGGGGTGTAAACGAATCGAATCGAGTCAAATACCTCACTATTCGATTCGAATTCGACTATATATTCGAATATTCGTATTCGTATTCATTTAATATTCGAATCTCAAATTTGATTCGTATTCGATTCGACCAGTGTATTCGAATATATTCGATTCGACTCGAATATTCGAATTCGAAAAGCCAAACTTAATTTTTTACAAATTTCTCAAAAAAAATTAAGATTAAATATAATAAAAATAAAAATTAAAATTTAAATAGCATTAAATTTAATATTAATATACTAATCAAGAATCACATGAAAATAACAACAAAAATTCAATCATCAAATTCATACATTAAATACTCACATAAAAATTTAAGTCTGCATTAAGCTTAATTTGAATCCAAAAAATAAAAACTCAAAAACATCCATAAATTAAGTACTACAATAACAAATTACACTTCAATTATAATCAAATCATCATGCTTGCAATATGACATCAATTGGTTCTTCTTCCTCCTACAAAAAATGAAAATAAAGTTAATATTATTATCATTCAATCAATAAGATATAAACAAATTTACTAAAGTAGAACGTACATATGTCATAATAGGCTTATCGATCCCATGAAGTTGACGAACCCAATCTGCTCCACAAATCAAAACTTGCACCATATCAGAAGATAGTTTAGCACGATAAGGATCTAAAACTCGGGTACCTGCACTAAATGTGGCTTCTGATGCCACGGTGCTAACTGGAATAGCTAAAACATCACGTGCTAATTTAGACAAAATACTGAACTTCAATTCATGAGATTTCCACCAAGATAAGGCATCAAATTCAGAAGTTACTTCACCATCTTGACACCTATAAACCCCTTCTTCCAAGTAAATGTCCAACTCTGATTTGTTTGGAGTTTCATCTTCAACACTGTCCAAATATTTATCATACAAATGCAAACCAGAAAGGACAACTTTTCCTTTAGAAGTAGAGCCTGTAGAAGTAACAGAAGAACTCCCCATATGTGTCACATAAGAACTACCTTTTCGAATTTTCATGTTATCAATTTGAACATATTCATAGAACAAGTCATATAATGCATCCTTGACCTTCGTCACATTTATACGTGCATCATTTGCATTATATATTTGGTTGAAAGAAAAATTAACCAACCTCATTTTGTACCTAGGATCAAGTATTGCTCCAATAGACATCAAAAGATTGCAATCACCCCAATATTTGTCAAATTTGGTCTTCATCTTTTCAATCATATTTCTAATCAGCTCTTCATGATGAAACTCATTTTCATTTAAGACATGCTTGACCCTCCAAACAACACCAAGAAAAACATTAGAAGTGGGGTAGTTAGTTCCAGAGATCACGTGAGTAGCTTCATAAAACGCCTCTAAGATGCTAAGAACATCCTGTATTCTAGTCCAATCTTCCAAGCTAGGACAACATTTATATGAAGGTTCTCTTTGTGCAAATATTGGAAATGCATCCTTCAGTTTAATGGCTACAACTAACATTTCATATGTAGAATTCCAACGAGTAACACAATCAAGAATTAACTTTTTCACCGAAATTCCCAAATGATGCACAATTTCAGAGAACTTCAACAACCTAGACTCAGACTGATTAATAAATCGCACACTATTCCTAACATCTTCAACAATGGTTTTAATTGTAGAAATACCATCCTGAACAACAAGATTCAATATATGAGCAGTGCACCTCACATGAAATAGCTTACCACCCAAAGGTAGCTTATGGCTCCTGGAGAAAGTTTGTTTGGCAATTCTAATTGCAACATCATTGTTTGAAGCATTATCCACGGAAATAGTGAAGATTTTATGCTCTATCCCCCAATCTTTTGTGGACTTCATAACCCCATCAATGATATCAACACCTGAAATATGACAATAATATATTTAAAGTCAAGAAATAGTTATTATTAATTTATTAATATAGAGATATATTTACAAACAAGTGAACAACATTACCAGTATGTGGAGGAGGAAGAGGCATGAAACTAAGTACACGCTTTTGAAGTTGCCAATTTGAATCAACAAAGTGTCCAGTGACACACATATATGAAATCTTTTGCACCTTAGACTTCCAAATATCAGTGGTCAATGATATCTTATTGATGGTTCTTAACATTGATTGTAACTTTTTCTTCTCTATTTCATAAACAGTAATGACATCATTCATTGCCATGGCACGAGAGATTTTTTCAAACTGTGGAAGATTAGCTTTGAACATAAAAGTAAATCCATAATTTTCCACAACATTTAACGGTTGCTCGTGAATCAGAATCCAATGAGCAATAGCTTCTCTTTGCTTCATATGATCATATTTACCATCTGACAAAAGAGGTGTCTCAAACTTGGATTTTGCATTCTGAAATTGCAAGGTTTTTTGATTTTTTGTATGAAGCTTCTTTTGTGTACACCTATTCAAATGGTTCCAAAGATGAGTTGTTGTAGAAGACGCTGACTTAGAAAGGAATGTTTTACAATGTATACATTGTAGCTTTATACTTCCATCCTTTGTAGTAACTTCAGTAAAATCAGCGTAGGCTTTTGATACCCTCTTTCTTTTCTTCCTTTGAAATTGGTCTTGATCATCATTCTTTTCACATTCCTTCTCATCATCACCTTTTTCATCTCCAACATCTATATTTTCATTTTGTACGCCATCATCATTAACCTCCAAGTCGTTTACATTAACTTCATTAAAATCAACATAATTGATTTCCTGAAAAAGTTTAGAAGCATTCACTAAAGATACCAACATACATTATCTAGATTCTAGAGTTTAGACAAGGAAACAAATGACACCTATTCAATTACTTATTCTAAGACCATAAATTGAGAAACTATGAAAATTTTAGATAATTACCTCATCCACCTCATATTCTCTAACCTCGTGTACTTGTGTTTGCTCATTTCCTTGTGCTTGTGTTTGCTCATTTCCTTGTGCTTGTGGTTGCTCATTTCCTTGTGATGACTCATTTGGATTTGAAGATTTCATATTTCTGTTAAATGTTTCCAACATAAGTAAAATGTTAACAATAATCATATCATATCATTAATAATAAGGTAATAATAATACAACATAAGTAAAAAATAATTAAACACTGAAGACCCTAACAGAAGATTAAGGCCATAAAATTCATATAATCATATCACGCCTCTAAGCTTCCACACTCGCCGTCGCCGCCACAAAATCTGCCAATTCATTTCAATTTCTGATCCATCTTCGTAGATTACTAGTACCAGAGAAGCCCCACGAGCGACAGAAACAGAGAAGAGCAGAGCAAGGCACCGTAACCAGTCGCCGGAAAACCAGCTCCGGAGTCCATTCCCGGCGCCGGTGCCAACGGAGAAGACGACGATTTCCGAGATTCCCAATTTTGCCATTTTCGCAGGTGCACGAGGAAATCGCAGAGTTATATTCTGCTCGGTTTAACAAATAACATTTATAAAAATAAAAAATAACAAAATAACGTATTAATATTTATACTTACTGCGCCGGAGAAGAAGATGGGTTGGAGCCTGGAGGCTTGGAGCTTCTATGGCACGAAACCTTCACAGATATGGAGATTGGAGTGCAGGCGTTGGAGCTTCTTCGGCGCGGCACCGGTACGAGTATGGAGACTTGGAGAGGAGATGTTGGAGACTGGAAGGAAGTGTAGACTGCAGAGCTGTGGGAGAAATAGATAATGGAAGCTTGAAGGCAGCAGCATCGGAGGATTCGGATTTCGGAGGCGTTCTCCGTTCTTCTCCCGAAGAGATTGCGAGACTTGGAGTTGGAGGGGTAAGTGCTAGCCTGTAGTCCTATACTCTGTTAGGGTTTGGCTTTAGTTTTAGACTTTTAGTACTAATATAAAACTAATATAAAATATTATATATTATATAAAATTTTATATACATATATTCGAATATATTCGAATATTATTCGAATCGAATATTTTCTTATTTGTATTCGGATTCGAATAATATTCGAATCAGTATAAGTATTCGAATTCGATTTATTCGAATTCGAATCGAGATATTCGAATTCGAATCACGAATCGAATTCGAATTATTTGATTCGTTTACACCCCTACTTTCAGGTGGACCAAGCTCATAGGTACGAGAGAGATTTTCGAGTTAGACTAGGTAGTTAGATAACTTGTAGTCTAAACTCATGTTTTGGTTGTAGTATCCTATCTTTTGATGGTGCTGGACACCGGGGTTTTATTCCCCTAGATTCTCGGATGTTAGTTTGACTTGTTATTGTTTAATTTTACCCTAGCCTGTGCAGTCACCGTGGAGAGTGGTTGTGACGGTGACACTCCTTTAAGTTATTTATTAAGTTTATTTCCGCTGCTTAGTTTATCTATAAAGGTTTAGTTTGTTAATCAAGGTTAAGAAAAAAATGGGTGTTACAATTATACACTAATGTTTATTTGCAAAATCCTTGATGGATTTATAACTCTCAAAATGAAAATAAATATCACAACATATTTGTTGTTGAAGTACAATCGTTTTACTTAACTTGAAATAATAAGGCGATTGACTAAGTAAATTCCTCCTGAAGTAGGAAAATATAGAAACGAATATGTACCATTAACTACTAATGAAATTATTTATTATCTCAGCCTATGTTGGTGTTATGAACATCATAAAGAGCGTATGATATTAGCACATGTTCTAAAGACGACTTTTGCAAACAAAGAACTTAGAAAACCAAGTATTATCACGACCTGCAGTTCGAGTATTTTCTTGAACTGATTTTATACATCATTAGTCTATTTTGGAGGAATATCTTTGATGCATTCTTATGGATAATAAGTATTATTGACTTATCACACTAACAGTTGTCCAAATCTCTTGAAGTAGATAAAGGAGTATTTAGACTCAAAAGAAGAGTCACAAGATTATTGTATAAAAATGGTAAACTCTAATGACAATATTGACGATTCGGAGTTGTACTCTTTTGCAACATATGAATATATATATATGTTGGTTCCACGTGTTTTATACAGATTATTGCACCACATTATTACCTTTGTTATCATTCTACTTACAATATTTCTTTGTTTGTTTTATGATTAAAGACACCAATAAGAAATGAGATAAGGTTTATAATATTAGATAGTCTATTAGCAAATATTGTGATACTTGGTACAATTGTTTTGTATCAAGTATCTTTTTACTCACATAGACTCCAGAAGAGTTGTGAAATACATGAAGATTGTTATATTCACAGGGAGTGACATTTACACGAATCAATCCTAAAGATTAAGTCTTAAAAGACTAACAATTGCGCTCTATTTGCAACACATAAATACATATATATCATGTACTCTTTTTCGTCACTAGATTTCTCCCTTGGGTTTTTCTAGTTTAGTGTGATTTTTAACGAGACATGAGTATGCTATAATAATGTCAATGGGGGAAAAGTTGCAAAGAAATACTTAAATAGGGAAACCCCATAAATCCTGAAGATTATGTCCTGAAGGCTTATGGTTGTACTATTTTTACTTTAACTAAGTTTTATTCCACATGATTTTTTTTTCTTAGTAAGGTTTTTAATGAGGCAACCAGTACACATATGATTTTTCAAATATCATGTACTCTTTTCCTCAATAAGGTTTTTCCCACGTGATTTTCCTAGTGAGGTTTTTAACGAGTCATTAATATAATTACCCATAAATCTTGCACTCTTTTATTGTCTAGGTTTTTTTTCACAGGATTTTCCTAACAAGTTTTTAACGAGGCACGATTGTGGACAAATAATGTCCAAAAGAGAGTGTTATAAATATATATATATTAAGTGGACATACATTATTAGTGTGACAGATGTAACGGTCCATCATTAATATTATCATTATTGTATCCATTATTACCTTTGTATTATAATATGTCAAAAACCTCTTGTAAAGATTGTGATGCGATTGGAATGAAAGAACTACATTTGGTTAGTTTCTCCTTTTTCTCCCTACCTTTTGTCTTACTTTATCAGTATATTTGTTGATCTAATCTTGCAACACACCGATTAAAAATTAATTGGCCAACGCGCATCAACAAATTACAACACTTATTTTTATATCGTCGCTTTTGCAAACAATACTTTAATATTACTTATTCATGAGTCACGTACTTTAATTTTATGCATCATGTTATAAAATGGTACATCATAATTTATTTGTTCATTGAGATTAAAATTTTTTAAATTATTTATTTATTTATGTCGGAGGAATCTTTTAGAATTAAAATTAGAATTTGCCGATTGAGTGTACGCGTTTGCAACGAACATTGCATATATGGATGAGAACTGATTGTATTATATTTTCTGAACTTAATTACAATGAGATCAGATGATGTGAATATATAGAATAGAGAGTCAGAGTGTGACAATGATAAGAAGTAGAGAGTCACAGTGTGACAAGGATAAGAAGTTCTAAACAGACTCATATACATAGAGTCCTAATACTCCCCCTCAAGCACAGTGTATACTAGTAACCTGTAGCTTGTCCCTTAAGGAAGAAAATCTAGGTCCAGGCAGAGCTTTGGTGAAGATATCAGCAAGTTGATCCTTTGTGGAGATGAAGTTGACTTGGATATCGCCCGAAGCTACTCGATCACGAACAAAATGATAATCAATCTCCACATGCTTGGTGCGCGCATGAAAGATTGGATTGGCACTCATATATGTAGCTCCTAGATTATCACACCATAATTTTGGAATGGAAATACCCGGAATCTGTATCTCACGCAATAATGACATAATCCATAGAACCTCAGCACAAACATCTGCAAGAGCTTTGTATTCAGCCTCAGTGGATGACCTGGCAACAGTTCTCTGTTTCTTGCAAACCCACGATATAAGATTACTCCCCAAGAAAACAGCAAAACCACTCGTGGATTTTTGGTCGTCAGGACAACCAGCCCAATCAGAATCAGAGAAAGCATGAATGTCTCTAGATGAGCACCGTCGTATGCGTAAACCATGATCAACTGTTCCCTTAACATACCTGAGTACCCGTTTGAGCTGCTCCCAGTGTGATATGGTGGGGGCATGCATATGCTGGCATAACTGATTAACTGCAAAGGATAGGTCAGGTCGTGTGACAGTGAGATATTGCAGTGCTCCAGCTAGACTCCTGTACTGTGTGGGATCATCATATAGATCTGAATTGAAGGGGACAGTTTTCGAGACAGAGATAGGTGTAGAAAGGGGTTTGCATTCAGACATTCCAGCCCGTTTTAAAATATCATTCATATACCGTTGTTGAGATAAAATAATCCCATTGTCACTCTTAACTGTTTCAATACCCAGAAAAAAATTTGGTTCACCAAGATCTCTGATTTTGAATGTAGCAGACAGTTTGGACAAGAGCTGAGACATAATACCTTGATCACTTCCCATTACAAGAATGTCATCCACGTACACCAATAGATAAACCAAAGCAGAGTCTTTAGAGTAATAGAACAGAGAGACATCTGTCTTGGATGCTTGAAAGCCAACCGATAGTAAGAACGTATGTAGTCGATTAAACCAAGCTCTGGGAGCTTGTTTTAACCCATACAGAGATCTTTTTAACAAACAAACATGATTCGGGAAGTTAGCATCAATATAACCAGGGGGTTGCTTCATATAAACTGTTTCAGCCAAATTACCATTCAGAAAAGCATTATGAACATCTAGCTATTTGATAGACCACCCAGATGATAAAGTTAGAGATAGAAGGAGTCTTACAGTCGTAGGCTTTACCACTGGACTAAAAGTGTCGAAGAAGTCCTGACCTGGAACCTGATTAAAACCTTTCGCAACCAGCCTAGCTTTATGCCTTTCAATAGCACCATCAGCCTTTCTCTTTGTACGAAACACCCATTTACAGCCAATAATATTCATACCTGCAATGGGTGGAACTAGAGACCATGTGTGGTTATGCAGGAGAGCATTGAATTCTTGGTCCATGGCTTCACGCCACTCAGGATATTTGACAGCTTGAGAGTAACATGTGGGTTCCGTGGGATGCACTTGAGCTGCTAGAGCAAAAAGAGGAGCATTTGCGTTGCTGCGAGTGGCCATAGATTGAGTACGGACATTGGGCCTGATGGACCGCCCACGTGGACGGCCTCGCCGGCGAGCAACAGGCTCCACAGGATCACCCGACGAGGCAGCCTGTCCAGGATCCACGGCTGGTTCGAATGAAGCAGGTAGCGGCGGTTCTGGCAGCTCATCATTGGACACGGCAGGAATAGGTGTGCTGTGACTGAGAACAGATTCCACCCAAGGTCCAGAAAACGGAGTAGATAGATCCTGCAAAGAAGTTTTAGTAGCAAAGGGGAAAACTTCTTCATCAAATCTGACATGCCTGCATGTGTAAATCTTATTAGTATGTAAGTCCATGCATCTGTACCCCCTA